GGGGGCTAAGCAGTTGGTGGTGCAGGACGCATTGCTGACAATCTTGAGGGAGTTGTCATACTTGTCTTGGTTCACACAAACATGGGGGCATCAGCAGAAGGGGCGGAGATGATGACCCTCTTGGCCCCGCCCTTCAAGTGGGCCCCAGCCTTCTCCATGGTGGTGAAGACGCCAGTAGATTCCACAACAGACTCGGCGCCAGCATCACCCCATTTGATATTGGCGGGATCTCGCTCCTGGAAGATGGTGATGGCCTTCCCGTTGATGACAAGCTTCCCATTCTCAGCCTTGACTGTGCCTTTGAACTTGCCATGGGTAGAGTCATACTGGAACATGTAGACCATGTAGTTGAGGTCAATGAAGGGGTCATTGATGGCAACAATGTCCACTTTGCCAGAAGTGAAGGCAGCCCTGGTAACCAGGCGTCCAATATGGCCAAATCCGTTCACGCTGACCTTCACCATTGTGTCTCCGGAGCGAGGCTGGCACTGCACGAAAAGATGCTCTGTCTCTAGAACAGGAAGGAGCAGAGAGCCCCAAAAAATATTTTTTAAAAATACTACTGGAATCCAGTTGTGGAGAGGGAGGAGGGATAAGCAAAGGAGCCAAGACGGGACTGGAGAAACCCAAACAAACAGTGGACCTGACCTACTGATAGCATGGAGATCCTAGTCATAAAGCTGGGGAAACAGCATTGGACCAAACCAAGCCCTTTGAATGTGGGTGTCAGCTAGGAGGCCAAGACAGTCTATGGGACCTCTAACAGTGGAGCCAGTGTTTATCCCTAGAGCACAAATGGACTTTGGGAGTTCATTTCCTATGGAGGGATACTATTGCAGCCCAGATAGGGCAAGGAGGGCCTACCCCCTCCTCCGAATGATATGAGGGACTTTGAAGGTCCCTGGTGGAGGGCCACACTATCCCTGGGAAGGAGTTGGGGGTTGGGTTGGGGGTTTGGTGGGGAACATGGGAGGATGGGAGGGCGAGGGAATGGGGGATGGATATGTAAATATGAGTAGTAATTAAAGAATAAATAAATTAAAATGTATAACAATCATTTACTTATAAATTTTATATTTAATTTTACTAAGGACATTGAAGCATGAAGAAAAGTCATACAGACAACTTAATGTTTCCTAGTAACTGCTTTTAAAAAGTAAAACTGGAGATCAACCATGATGGCAAACAACTTTTATTGTAGTACTCAGGAGGCGGGGGAATGCAGATTTCTGTTTGTTCAGGGTCAGTCTGAACATAGTGAGAATCCATCTAAAAAATAATCAAAACAGCAGGCCAGAAAAATTTCAAAGTGGGTAAAGGCAACTGATATCCCTAATTTGTTCTCACACCTTAACACATGAGCTGTAACACAGATGTACTCACATACCTACACACAGAGAAGGTGTCACACCTGTGAGTATATAAGCACTACTGATTATACCCAGTGAGTAATATAAAAACAAAAATTCAGAATATGAAAATCAGGAAAGGGACATGGTGGGGGATCTGGGAGAAGTATATTGTATACACATATCAAATTTTCAAGAACACATAAAAAGTGTATTTTTAAAACAAGTTTTAAGCAAAAAAATAAATGGGAACAGCAAGATGCCTCAGCAGACAAAATTACTTGATTCTTAAGCCTCACAACCTGAGCTTGATCCGCACAGCCAATGTTAAAAGCTGGACATGGCAATGCACAACTATAACTCCATGTTAACAGCTGGACTTGGTGGTGCACATCTCTAATTCCTTGTTAAAATCTGGACTTGGTGGTGCACATCTGTAATTCCAGAATGCTTCAGGAAAGATGAAAGGCAAAGACAGGAGCATCGCCCAGAAGCTTGTGCTACAGCTAGCTGGAATACGCAGCTTGGCAAAAACAGTAAGCGAGAACTTGCCTCAAAACCAAGGTAAAAGAAGAGAACTGACTCCCAAAGAAGTTGTTCTCTGATTTCCATATGTGTGCCCTGGCACCTGTGCATCTGCACACATACACATTATAGTAATCAATAGTAATGAATTCAGGGTTTAAAGAGAAGCACACACATTTGATTTTAATAAGGTATTTTGTTTAAGCTAATATATTGCAAATATTATTTCAACAGATCATTAGGAATAAATCCAGGATGAACTTTACACTAGTAGCTCATCACAATTGGGACTAGCCACATTCCATGTGCTCAAGAAACACATGTGGCAACTGGCTTCTATACTAAATAGCATAGCCACATTTTTCAAAATGGAAGTGGCCATGCTTTGCCTCCCTCCTCCTCAGTTGAGTTACTTGCCACACTTGCAGTCAGGCAAACATTTAGAGAATCCATATCTACACTGCAGTGAGTGAGAAGAGCCATGGGCAGATGATGTGAGTTACAAAGTTTCTCACTCCTGATCCTTGGTCTTCCATGTTCCTAAGACGTCTACAGTCTCAGTCCCTCTCAACTACCAGACTACTGATAATCCCTCTAGGATCTTTCCTTCTTCAGGGCTGGGGACCTGGCACTCACCTTGTGTGAAAATTTTAAAGGATTATGAAGACAGCCATAAATACCTTTTATTATTTTATGTTTTGTGTGTGAGTGTTTACTTGCATGTACATATGTGCATCATGTGTGTTCCTGGTGCCCACAGAGGCCAGAAGACTGTATTGTGTTTGATCCCCTACAACTGAAGTTATAGAGGTTGCAAACAACCATGTTGTCTGCAAGAGCAACATGTGCTCTTAACCACTGAGTGATTTCTCTGGCTCAAACAGCTGCAATTAACATACTATTCCTAAAATCTAAAACCACTGTGAAAATCCATGATAAAGATATATCAAAACTTTAAATGATAACAGCATGCAATAAGGCTGCAATTATGTAGTGGTTAATGAGTTGGATAGGGGGGAAAGGGTGAGTATTTCCCCTTCCCTTCACTGCAAAAGTTGTTCAACAACCTAAAATAATGCAATCACTTTCCTAGTGCACAGTTTGGGCTCAATATATACTCCTAGGTAAAAGAATAAGAATTGAGTGATTTTACTGTTCAATATGACATTCATGTAGAATGAAAAACAGTGGTACACCTATTGGTTTGACCCAATCACAAACTTCCATCAGAAAAAAAAATTTTGATTGGACCTCCAGAAACTGAGAAGCTTCTGTAAGGCAAAGGACACAGTCAACAAGACAAAACGGCAGCCCACAGATTGGGAAAAGATATTCACCAACCCCATATTCGACAGAGGGCTGATCTCCAAAATTTACAAAAAACTCAAGAAGCTAGTCTCCAAAACACCTAATAATCCAATTAAAAAATGGGGTACAGAACTAAATACAGAATTCTCAATAGAGGAATCTAAAATGGATGAAAGACACATAAGAAAGTGCTCAACATCCTTAGCCATCAGGGAAATGCAAATCAAAACAACTTTGAGATACCATCTTACTCTAGTCAGAATGGCTAAAATAAAAAAAAACAAACAAACAATGATAACTTATGCTGTAGAGGATGTAGAGAAAGGGGAACACTGCTCCACTGCTGGTGGGAGTGCAAATTTGTACAGCCACTTTGGAAATCAGCATGGCGATTCCTCAGGAAAATGGGAATCTGTGTAGCACAAGATCCAGCAATTCCACTCTTAGGCATCCAAAGAAGCACATTCAAACAACAAGGACGTCTGTTCAACTATGTTAATAGCAGGATTATTTGTAATAGCCAGAACCTGGAAGCAACCTAGATGCCCCTCAACTGAAGAATAGATACAGAAAATGTGGTACATTTATTTACACAATGGAGTACTACTCAGCAGAAAAAAAAACAATGGAATATTGAAATTTGCAGGCAAATGGATAGAGCTAGAAGAAACCATTCTGAGCTAGGTAACCCAGTAACAAAAAGACAAACATGATATGCAGTTACTCATATATGGATTTTACACATAGCGCAAAGGATTACAAGCCTAAAATCCACACCACCAGAGAGGCTAGGCAACAAGGAGGACTCTAAAAGAGACATACATGGTCCCCCAGAGAAGAGGAAAGGGACAAGATCTCCTGAGCAAATTGGGAGCATAGGTGGAGGGGAGAGGGAACTAGGAGAATGAGAAGGGGAGAAGAGGAGTGAGGCAGATATAAAGGAGCAGGGAGGTTGTATAGGGGAAGAATAGAGGAGAGCAAAATAAGAGATACCATCAATGAGGGAGCCAGTATAGGTTTAAAGCGAAATCAGGCACTAGGGAAATGTCCCGAGATCTACAAGGATGATACCAACTAACCATCTAAGCAACAGTGGAGAAGCTACCTTAAATGCCCTCCCCTGATAACGAGATTGACGACTAATTTACATACCATCCCAGAGCCTTCATCCAACAGCTGATGGAAGTAGAAACAGAAACCCACAACTAAAAACTGAACTGAATTGGAATCCAGTTGCAGAGAAGGAGGAGTGATGAGCAAAGTGGTCAAAAACATGCTAGAGAAACCCACAGAAACAGCTGACCTGAACAAGGGGGACCTCTTGGCCCCCAGATTGATCACTGGGAAACCAGCATGGAACTGATCCAGACCCCATGAATGTGTGTGTCAATGAGGAGGCCTCAGAAATCTACAGGACCTCCTTTAGTAAATCAGTATTTATCCCTAGCATAGGAATGGAGTTTGGGATCCCATTCCACATAGAGGGATACTCCCTGAGCCTAGACACATGGGGGTGGACTTAGGCCCTATCCCAAAGGATATGACAGACTCTGAAGACTCCCTATGGAAGGCCTACCCTCCCTGGGGAACAGAAATGGCATGGGATAGGTAGGGTGTTAGTGGGGGGGGGGCAGGGGAGCAAGGGAGGCAGAGGGAAATGGGATTGATATGTAAACCAATCTTGTTTCTAATTTAAATAAAAAATAATGTTAGCTAAAAAAAAGAAAAAAGAAAAACATTTTTGTTGTTTTGTCTTTTTTTTGTACATATAGCTCTTGTCATCCTGGCACTCACTATGTAGATCAGGCTGGCCTTGAACTTACAGAGATCCACCAGCCTCTGCCTCATGAATGTTGGGATTAAAGGCATGCATCATCGTACCTTCCTACAAATTCCCACACTTAACTTCACAAATTGACTCAAATATTTACATTGGTAAGAGTCATGAGTAAGAAAATGCAAGGAAAGAGTTTCTTTGAGCTGGAACCCTAAGACTTCCAACTTTTTCCAATAGTCTGATTCTTGTTATATTGACCAGAATAATTCTAATAGGCAGGAAAAGTCCTCAAGAACTAAAGACTTACTTGAGCTTTTCTTTGCATCTGGGTAGATTTCAACCTTCAAACCTGCCCAGTCAGGCACCCAAGGCAGCTCTCCAACAGGGGCAAATCATACCCCTAGGATCCTATTCTCTTACCATAGATCCCAACATGTGAGTAATATGTAAGCAGATAGCAAGTGCCTTCCTAGAGGAAAAAGAAGAAAACGTTCCCAATGTGTAACCCATAGCCTGAAGAGATTAAAGAGGAAAAAA